TATATATATATATATATATATATATATATAAATTCTCAGTTTTGTGCATTTCTAATAAACTTATTTAAAAAAAAAGCAGATAATAACAACGTATTTAGCAGAAGGATCCTGTCAAACTGAATGCTTGTTGGTAAATGCAATGGTAAAATAGTATTGGAAATAGAAGTGGAGTTGTACAGTATATAATAAACCGAAGGTGAAAAAACTGCCAAGAAAAAAAAAACATTTTAGCAGCACCTATAAATACATGTGAACGTCTGCATCTTCAGATGAATGTTGTGCACATTATTTACAGTATAATATTTTGCTCTGAATTGTTCTATCACTTTGGTTATCAAACATTACAGATGTCAGTCAAAGGGAGTTCAGTTAGAGCTTTCATCACACACCTTCCAGACATGTATCTTAAATATATTTTATGTGTTATCCTTTTTCTGCTATTTTATATATTATCAATAACAGTATTGTAAGAGGGGGACAATTGAACACGGATGCCTCTGCCCCTGTTTAATGATGGATGGGTTATTTTCATAAAGATGTCTTCCTTCACTCCTCTCTAAAACCAACATTCCTCTCTATTGGGGATGTGAACATCCACTATGAGAAGGTACTATTTATAAGACAGAGGTTATTGCAGCTCCTCAGACTGAAGAAATCTTTTGGAAAAAGACGAAGAGTTTCAACAAATACGAATCTATCCAGAGGACCTGACTCTACATTGTTAGATTTATCTACCTGGGTTATTGAGCAGATATACAGTTGGAGACCCTGGGAAACCTGGGGAGGAAGGAGATGCAACAGGAACTATGAGGAACTGTTAGATGCTGCATGTTGTTGCTCTCTTATAGGTTGCTGGGTTAGAGTTAGTGTAGAGAGGAGGGCAGAGGATTCCAGGTTAGTCAGGTCCTGGTTGAAGGAGTACAGGTGGAGCATATAGGCAAGTGGTTGGATGTTGATGGAGCAGCTGGAGAAGATCCACGAGGGAGAATAGTAACTCACAGGTAGGCACAGGAGCCAAGGATTCCTGGGCAGCGATAAGGGATCCAGGATTTGAGACTCAGGAACCATATTCTGTGAGAACACAAGGAGAGCACAAGGCAAATATGACTTAGGTTAGAGAATTAACACAAGGAGACTGACATCACAAATACCAGAAGTAATGCTTCAGCAGGGAAAGAAACTCTTCTGCAGCTTTTTATAGTCCTTGCGCTCCTTAGTGGGATGACTCCCAGCTGCTGCTTGTTGGCACCACCTCTGGACTCAGGAACCTGCAGGAAGAGCTATGATCCTCACACTGCTATTTTTTTTCCCCCAAATCTTACCAAATAAAATCCATTAGAATTTTCTAGCTTAACAACGTTCTGCTTCACATCCAAGATGCTCAAAACTGAAAGCTACGGAGTGAGTTGTTGAATCCTCATGTAAATCATTCTCCCTCCCTGGTGAGGGCCATTAGATGATTGTGAGATGTTTTGGTTACGTCAATTAGTATTACACTTATTTGGGACTGGACTCAGATGTGCATTATGCTGTATGTACTGAATAGATAAAATGGGATTAATTCCTCTGTATAAAGTTGATGTTTCTCATCCAACTTTGATGGTTTATTTAATTCATTTTTCAAATTTATTTTACTTGAGACCATGTCCTAGATGACTGAGAATCTATACCAGCAGAAAACAAACAAACAAAAATATATATATCAGTAGTATGCACAGAACTATCATCTAGTAATATTTAACTCATCTGGATTGACAACAAAACCTTTGCCAAATAACATAATTTCCATTATGATTTTGGTTTTATTTCCATTCTGAATCAATATTTCCTCAAGTTATTTATTACCTTTGGATCACACCTTCTATCTCCTGCATCTGTGTCTTTATGGTTTTGTTGTACTTTGCTGTGTTTTTACTTCAAATAGTGACATGTGTTGAGCTTTCACCTATAAATTTAACACATTTTTGTTTGTGCACAGTTTTTTAAGATACAGTGCTCTTGTTGGATATTTCTCATTGCATGGGCAAACCACTTTCAATTTATTAAAGTAGTTTCTATTGTTGGGCATTAAACTGTCAAGAGAGGGTAACGCTCTGCTCTCTGCCTTACTTTTGGCCTATTGTATACTCTAGAAAATGTAAATGCAGCCTGTTATCACATTATTAAAATTGTAAGAATATACGTTTCCACATAAAAAGTTTTGTCAGTTTTATGAAAAGTAGAAAAAAAGCACACTCATTCCTTCCAAATACAGTGAAAATGTGTTATTGCTGTTTTAGGAAAACCTCTATAAAAACTGTCACTGTTAAATGAGCAAGTCAGAGTCAGAGTTTCTTTATTGTCATTCGCACCTCATGTGGTACAAGTGGTGGAGCGAAATCATGTACACAGGCTGGAGGCTGGAGACTTTAGCTTTGTAGCAGATTGTTGATGTAAATGATGCACAATATGTGCTGCTAAATTCAACCACCAGTTCAAAATGACTGAATCCAGCCCTAGAAGTCCAACTGGAACTACAAACCCAGACTTCATGTTCATCTTTGAGTTTTTTATTTTATTTATTGTCTGCCTCTCTCAGACGTTGACCTTCATGTTATCATAGCTGGCAGGCCATGTTTTTTAGAAAACATACATTTTTAATTTCCAGTGAAATTACTGAATAACTGTTGTTAAATCAAAGCACAATCAGACATAAACTCTGAGAAGAGCAGAGCAGCAGATACACCAGAACCACTGATGCCCTAACTGTAAAAGCACTAAGGCCTTTTCACCAAGATTTGAACATCAAGGAATGGAACAGTCAAGCACAGTTTGTAATGTCTCACAAAATAACAAAAAGACAGGAAGCTGTTATCTTTTGGGGGGTAAAAAAAAGTGGTTGATGAACTCTGCTGTTTTAATGTGCTCTTTTATTATTTTTTTTTTT